ATAGTGAGAGAGAGAGAGAGGAAAAAAAGATATATATAATTATAATTTTCTTCTTTGGCTTTAAAAAATTCATACTGTGAATAAAGAAGGTTTTGGTATATGTATTTCGAAATTGTTTCGGAGGCGAATAAAATATGCATTTACACCACGTAAAACAGAAATTATTTTCATAGCAAGAATTGTCCCGTATGTTTTCACTGCATGTATTATGGTAACGTACAGGTTAAAACGTATATTTATGCCATACCGTCTTAACGCATGTTTAATAATGACATCTGAAAAACCTTTATATTAAATCATCTTACCGAAATTTCACTTTTTGTAAGTGCTACAATTTCGAAGTTCTTATACAGTGCAATAAATACATACTTTTCTCCACAACATCAAATTTTACAATTTTTCCTTGAATATGTAGCCCACAAATTTATATTTTGTTGCAGATTGCCAATAATTTTTAATCCAGGTACATTTTAAAAGTTCTCTTTATGACTGTTCATGATTATATCAGTCACGTTAACGAACTCTTAGAAGGGGTCAAATTGTAAACAAACTTTTCTATCTCTTTAAAGTCAAAAGAAAAAAGGAAGGTGTATGTGTTCACATACGAAAGAGCTATAGGAAAAAATTGCGACAATTAACTTTCTTAATGTTTTAAAAGACGCCGATTCATCAACGTCCAACTTCCATCTGGTAGGCCCCGGATGTTGGCAGGACCGCTTCTAATTACATCTACGACACAAACCTAGCAATTACCTATCCCCCACCCCACCCTAGCACACTGTTATCGCCACCCTCCTTTCCTACCTCCTAAGTATTTATGGCCCGCGGGTAGCAATTCGCATTACACCGGAAATCGGCTTACCTGGTCTTCACGTGACAACGTGGCGTTTGAGCAAAAACAAAGTACGTGGACGTGCGACTCATGAGCATCGTCAAATAAGAAATAAAAATCGGGAAACGCAAAGGCAATAAAAAAATGTATACGAAAAAGATCTGTGTCTAGCACAATAGGTAATTTTGTGGGCTATATTATAGCAGCTCGTAGTCGTCATTGCGTAGCCCGAAGCCCACTTTCTGAGAGTTAAGACTTTTGATTAATGGATTTGTAAGTTAGTCAAGGCCCCCAGGTAAGTGATGCCGGCGAGGAAATGATAGTGGCACTGAAGTGTAATAAGAAACGCGATTCGAAATGGATGAGGCTTGCAAAAGGGATGTCAAAGAGGTTGCACTCTTCCCAACTTCAGCGGGCTGAAAGATGGGAATAAAAATAAAACTCGGGCAGAAGAGGAAGGGGAAAATTCTTTCTGATGAATATAAAAAATAAATAATCAACAGAAAGGAAGTTTTATGGTACGCGTAAATCATTACCAAATTTTAACAGCAGTTTAGAGATCGAGAAGAGATTTGATATAACATAAAAGATACTCACACTCAGATTGCATGCAGGTTGAATGCAAGATTTGAAAACAGCTGATGAGCCAGAATTTTTTTAAAAACAAAATGAAAAATTCTTTAAAAATTTTAAAAATTAGATTAATAAATATTTATCGAAACATAAATAAACAATATAATAATATCGCAAAAGGAAAAAATTCAAATTTATATTTATTTTTTTTTTTTTTTCTGAAATTTCTGTTTCAAAAGACATTTCTGTTTATTACAGTTTTTAATTCAGATATTTTGTCAGACAAATATTAATTTTCAAACTGACATTTATATCAAATAGTTTTAACATGTTCAATTAATCACAAATTATAACATGTTAAGTTTTCAAAGAAAATGTTCGAGGCAAGACAAAACTTAATAAATGACAACCTTGTGTCTTATTTATTAAGTTTTTTTTCGATGCATAAATAAAAACTAAATACGTTTTTATGTAAATAATAATCAAATTCTTTCTTTCTTACTGCAGTTTGGCGTTTAATGGAGCTTCCATTCAGATAAAGTTTGCAGACTTAAAGAGAAATTATCATCCCGTATTGTAGATGCTCATCAGTTATTTGGGTTTTTTCTTATTAATTTGAAACTACGAAAAACAGCTGTTCATATATAAATGTATTTACAAACAAAGCAATTATTCTCAGTGCAAAGATTCGTCACTTAGTTTACTTATTTTCTAGCAAATGAGAATAAAATTGATAAATTTGTATCTTCAAGTCTTTTAATAAGATTTACGTCACTGTGTGAATTAATTAGCCTCCCTTTATAATTTTCTATTGCGTCATTCACTTTCGTTTTTAATGATAACGAAAAAGGTAAACTCGGGCTTCAAACAATTAAAATCTTGAGATCATTGCAATATTGTGTTTGCAACAAATACATAATTGACAGTTATTTGCAGGCCGCATGAAATTGTTTCGAAGGTCGCATGCGTCTAGCGGGCCATCAGTTTGAGACCACTGACGTAGGATATTTTACTTACAAGAAGACACTGCTAACCAATGAACAGTAGAACTCCAAATAGTAGGGCCACACTTAAAATCTGAATAATAAATAGCTTCTTTTTGTAAGCTAAATACGTATTTACTATATAAAAAGAAAGAAAATTTACTTTATGAAGTGAGCTAGCTTTTTCTTTTAAAACATTTAATGGTTATCGCTTTTTTAAATGTTATACTGTAATCAGCAGTTTTCAGAGCACAGTTTTCCAAAAATGTTTATTTAAAAATTGTTTGTTGCTACAAATAGAAATGAGATCTGCGTTGCAGATAAGTACGTCTGTAGTATTTTAAGTCGCAATTTGCACTTAGCAGTGGCCAAATGGACAACTGAATTCTGGAACTTGCCTTGGATTCAAATCCCTTCCAACGGGTAGCTGCAAACGTTAGTGTTATTTTCTTCATGTATACTGCAAATACGAACGAGTTTTTATCAGAAAGTCTTACATAAAGGTAATGCTCCACTTAGGCAGATGACCGTCGAGTATTTTTCATCCTCTACTAAACATGTAGAGACATTAGGTTACTTAGAAGCAGAAAAGATAAAAAAAAACGAGCAACGCCCTCGCCGGGAATCAACCACGGACCTGTGGAATACGCGCCCAGCGTGCTGTCCACTACACTACGAAGGCATGCTAAGAAGGCGAAATACCTTAGGATACCTTATAATGCTAAGGAGAAATACCTTATAAACAAACAAACCACAATATTAGATCCTTATTTATATTCCATTCCAGATGTTGCCAGATCGAGCGAATTTTTTTTTTTTTTTTTTTTTTTTTTTTTTTTTTTTTTTTTTAGTTTGCTACTTTTGTCAAACTCGTATTACTAAAATTTATATCTATGCGAATCTTCTGACCTTCCACATTTGTGTTACTTTTTTGCTACTTAAATTGTTTCTAATATACCATCAAAATACATAAATATTAATATAATGTATCTATTAAAACTAATTTATAAGGAATAATTTATTTAGACCTAAATAAAGGCTGGCAACTTGCAATCCTACTATATATGTGTTTTAATGTGTTTAATTAATTTCTTATTTAACATTTTGGTGATCTGTGAGTAGTTTTAGTCAAAGTATTTTGCTTTGAGTTAATTAAAGTTATTTTATTAATTAAATTTTTATTATAAAAATAACTTTAATTAACTCAAAGCAAAATACTTTGACTAAAATACTTTGACTAAATTACTCTTTTAATATTTTGAGAAAATGTATGTTATGTAATAATTGTTACTAAATTTAAGTATGAAACACACCCACAAAAAATTTTTACATGTTTTTTTTTTAATTTATTTTATTACAGTTTCCTTTTGTAAAGCACAAGTGTCCCATCACTTTTGTGAGACACTGTATTTGAGCATAAAAATTTCTGACAACACTCGTATCATGAGTGATCCCTTTAAGATCTCGGTATCTTTTTGCAGGCTGGCCACTTTTCTCCAGGGGAGAAATCTTCATAAGAGTATCCTAGCATAAAAGAATTGGCATCTTCATGAAGATCGGTTTATAATTTTAGGTAATCAAGTTTCGTAAAAGTGCATTATAATCTCCATATGGTAATGTAAATAAAGTTTGATTTGCTCAAAGCAAATGAATAATTGCTTGCATAACAGCGTTCTGGCATAAATGTGCTTGCAACATTTTAAGGTTGCTTTTTTCTAATCAAAGTCCAGTCCTCACAAAGACACGGCTTCTTTATAAGAGTTACTATTATGTAACGATCTCTCCATAACACCGTGAAGTTTTCGATTGATAGTATAAATATTTTTCAGTTGGCAAAATAATAATTTTAGTTTCGAAACATTAGTTAGTTTTGAATAGCTTTTTGGAACTTGAATGCAATTATAAAAAATACATTCTACGAATTCTTTACCTAAACATGCTATGTAAAATATTGTCAGGGGCTTTGGGAAAGGATTTTAAAGCACTCGTGTCACGGAGTTTCAAATAATACATTCTTGATATGGTAGCTTTTCTAATCCTATCAAATAACAATGACTTGTTGAAATTCCTTATCTTTGTTAGTCAAGAATCTACTGGGAAGACGACCAATTTGCGCCATTTTATTCGAAACAGCTAATTATAATGCGACAAACGATCTAACGAAGTTACGGCTTAATGGGAGTCGGAACCTTCGAGCTATGCGAACGATGAGTAGCGTAACAACTGCTGCGTTGCCATTTGTCGAAACAATAAATTATCATCGGCAAAAGACAGGCGAAAATGACAAGCTGAGCAAAATAAAAAATAAAAAAAGAATTTTGGATCATTATAATGGCAGAAAAGGGCCGATGCAGATTTGACATGAAGGCAAACTTTTTTTCCCTTCCTTCTTTTATTTTTTCCGACCTGATGTCTTTCCTCGCACTCTTCTCTTAGAAAACACCTGTCACACCTAAAAAACTGTCGCGTCCTCACTTTTAATTGGTTGTTGGTTGCGAAAACAAGAAAAAGAATGTTCAGAAGATTGTACTATAATCACCGGTAGCCGCAAGTGATTTTTGTGATAAACCATTTTATTTAAGAAACGTGGCAATTCTAGGAGAAAATCTCACCTGTTGGAAGACTTGATTCAGGTAATTATAGCAGCTTTGATTAGAATGGCAAACAGTAATCAAAGCAAATGATCATAAGTAAAAGTAATTGTATTTCAAAAAGATCTTTTATTCGTAACATGCAATTTATTGATTTGCATTAGGGAAGATTATCACATTCCGGTACGTATTTTAATCTCTCTTCGTAATTAAATCTTCGTGATGCGAGAAAGAGTTATATTACAAAGAACTCGTGAAACTGGGCTTACCTGGAAAAGGTTAAATAAGAACGCAAATATATCATTGATCATGTATAAACTAATTTTATGTTTTTAAACGTGATTATATTTTAATTATTTTCTTTTTAACCATTATATAGATAGTTAATACTTTTAAACTTTGGCAATAATCACTAAAGAAATAAACGCTGATTTCACATGGATGAAATCTTGCTCTTGATATATTGTAGAATCTTTAAATTTATTTCGAAGCAGGCAACATAAAAAATCGCATTACCTTAGGCGGGATTCGAACTCTGGACCTCCAGATTGCTAATCAGATGTGCTTGCTGTTACACCCGAAGGGGCAGAGTAACGAAACAGAAAAATTCCTTACAAAGTGCATAATTGATAAGTTGTAATGATTATTTAATTGTTAGCTACAGTGTTGTGTTTCAAAGAAGCTTCGAAGTAAACCATGGATTTACAAATGAGAAAGTTTTTTCTTTATGAGCAAAATGTGAACCATTATTAAATTTATCATTAAACTATGGTTAACGAAATTTCGAGCAGAAATTAGAATTGTCAGAAGCTGCATAATGGGGATGTCATGCACGATCATTTTTCAGACTCTCTTCTCAGACAGACTAGAGAAACTGATCCCCGATAAAATGCCCATAGAATAAACGAGAAATATATTTCTACCATTCCACTATGCCTCGCTATTTGTCTGCACTAGTCAAGAGGAAGAAATTGGGCATCTGGGTGCTTCATGATTTTACTCCCACAAAAAAAGGTCACATAGAATAGAAATATGCACCTTTCTCATGATTAGAAATAGTAGGTAGAGAATTTGGCATCAATATAATCAATACGTCATCAACGATAAAAAGGTGCATTGATAATCGTGGCAGATCTTCTCAGTGGTTTGATGTATACATTGGCCAGCGTGTTTCTCACAGCCACCGCTACATCCTTAAAAGATGATTATTCTTCATCCATAAAGATGCTTCTTCTGTAGTGGTGTGCATTTGGCATCTTAGTCAAGTTTCTCTCAGATAAACTCAATAAATCCATGAATTCTAACCGTTACTATGACGAACTACGGAAAATTAATCAACAGTTTCATCTGAAGCAACCAGCAGTCTTGAACACATAAAGTGGTGCTGTTGCGTCCTCTATATGTCGTTTTAATATTGCTTCAATTTTGATTTAGTCACAGTTCAAATGGCAAAGCTGCGAAATATTGCGAAATATAAATTTAAATAATATAAAAAATGAGGCGTATTCGGAAACTAAGTACCGTTTTGAAAAAAAAAAAAAAAAAAAAAAAAAAAAAAAAAATAGTAAAACAATTTTTTCGAATCCAATTTTATTTTTACATAAAATACATGTCTTAAACTATTTTCAACATAGTTTCCGCCACTGATCAAACACTTGTCATAGCGGGTGACCAGTTTTTGTATACCATCGTCAAAGAAACTTCCCGCCAGTTTCGATAATCACGACTCCACAGCATTTTTCCTGTCATCGTCAGATCCAAAGCGCTTGCCACCAAGCTCGCGCTTCATCTGCAGGAACAAGTGATAGTCGGACGGCGCCAAGTCCGGGCTGTACGGCGGGTGATCGAACTGCTCCCAATGAAACTGTCGAATTAACGATTGAGTGACACCAGCAGTATGAGGCCGAGCATTGTCATGGAGCAACACAATTCCTTTACTGAGCATTCCTCTTCGTTTGTTTTGAATGGCAGGCCTTAGTTTTGTTAAAGTCTCACAATATCGTGCCGCATTAATGGTTTCACCTCTGGGAAGAAATTCTGTAAGCAAAACGCCTCTTCTATCCCAGAAGACAGTGCACATCATTTTTTGTGATGACATTGTCACTTTGAACTTTTGTTTTTTCGGAGAATGAGTGTGTCTCCACTCCATCAATTGCTGCGACGGCGCTAGAATGAAACGGTACTTAGTTTCCGAATACGCTACGTATATATATGTATGTATATATGTGTGTGTGTGTGTAAGATAAAAAATATGAAAGCGAACTCCTAAATTTATTTCACTATAACATCTTTTATTTATTTTTTTTTTTTCACTTTTAATTCCATTTTTATTTCCAATTGATATTTGTGGCCACAATCACTTGGTACTATAGTCGTGCCTTTCCACAGAATACAGAAGATTTGCATTTTTGATATTGTTGAGATAGAAAGCAAGCCAGCGAAATTACATCTTAGCACAGTAGAGAGCAAAACTGAAGTGCGTAGTTATGCAAGATGGAAGCACGCGAAGAGAAAAGTTTTGGTTTGCAATTTCTTAATAACCTTTATATTTGCATTACTGGGCTGGTATTTACCTGCTTGAATTTCATAGCCTAAGAAATTTGTTTTTTCTTTAGCAAAATTAATGCACATTTAGTTTGTTTTAATTATGAAAGCAAACTCCTAAATTTAATTCACGATAACCTCTTTTATTTTTTATTTCATTTGGGAACTTCATCGCTCTGTCCTAAGAAAAGCGCTATAAGTCTAAACTGCGTCATCCAAATTAATCGTGCGATCTTACGAAACCCTTAATGCAGATGCCTCTTGACCAATCACCGAATTGTAAACCAAAACTAAAAACTGAAACTTTTGATTCCCTCCTTTCTTTCTATGAACTGATGCGTCACTTTTGCTTGTGCTTTCCTCTTGGCCAGACCTCCTTCTGCAATCAACATTTCTGCGCATAGTGCTTCCAAAATTTGTGCTATCATTACATATGTATAGTATATATATATATATATATATATTAGACAGATTGCATCCCTTTGATGATGAAAAGGGTTTTCATCTTCCACTTTTGTTAGATCTGTCTGGAATATATTATAACTTTTTCGTTATCTCGATAAGCAATACTTAGAACTCTTGATGGTGTTACCAAGTTAATGGCGACTACTTTTAGGCAGCATAGAAATTCCTCAAGTCACAGCACTGGTTTTACAGTCTGGCACGATCGTTGGCAGAAATGCTGGATGCCGAAAGTTCAGTATAGTAAGACCCCGCTTAACGCGGGGGATACGTTCCATCGAAGTAGAGCGTAATGCGAAACAGCGCTAAGGGAGGCTATCTTAACATGTAAATAATGGGGTTAAAGGAAGACGGATAAAAAATGGTTAGGCTTTAAATTTAATAATGTTTTTTTAATAAAAATAAAATCAAACATTTATTTCTTACAAAAATAAAAACAATATAAACGCATATACTTTTAAAAACAAATAAAATTCTCAGTCAGATCATTCAGTCTATTCTGGGTTTCCAATTTTCTGCCTTTTTGTCAAGAAGGCATTATGATAGATTGGCTTAATGGCATATTGCGTTCAATTTCGTCGTCAATCCATATAGACAGTCGTTTTCCCATTTCCTCTATAATGTTATTTCTAGAACGTGTAATTCTAGTTGCAGAGCTTGACGTAGTTGCAGTTGCCGATGACAGTATTTTTTCTTTATTCTTAAGAATTGCCAAAATCAATGCAGCACTAATTTGAGATTGACGTTCACCAGAATCTAATCTTCTAATCACTTGCATTTGAGTTTCCAGTGAAATGCTTTTTCTGGTTGCTTTCTTTTCTTGTTTTTTATTATCACCCATGATAAAAACTAAAGATCATAATATTTGTCACTGTATTAATCGTTATAGTATTATACAAATTTAAACTTACAATAATGTCAACAAATGTTTCAAATGATAAAAATGCGTCCACAAAGCAAGAAACACAACTACACTGTTTCGGATATGTTATTTGGAAACCTAGCGCTGCGCACAATTTCGGAGAATCCCCGGGTTGAAATAAATGAGCGCTAAACCGAAACAGCGTTAAGCGGGGTCTTACTGTATTTTGATTAGGGTATTCTTTTTGTTGAGGTATGCGAAAATGTCGGTCATTTGTCAGCTATATCAAATATTCCAAACCAATATTATAAAGTTAACACTTAATCAAAAAATTGTTCCTTTTGATACGATAGTATAGCCTGAAAACATAGAATTTTATTTTTTTTATCTTTAATTATTTATTCTGACATGGCTGAGCTTACCTTTAATCACAGCTGGTTTATTCCGGACTCGATTGCAGTCGTCAAAGAACATGGTTACACAGTATGCCAGTAATTCTTCTTGTGTTTAAGTTCGAGACAATTTTCATTTAAAAAGTAGCTATAAAGGTATATCATTTAATTTAAATAGCCTTCGAATGGCTTTTAATAGTAATTAATAGAATTTGACTAAATTGTTCCAAGACTTAAAAATTAACAAATAAAATTTCATTATTGAGCTAAGCTATCATTTTTAGATAATGAGTTATTTTTTAATTGCGAATATATAATATAAATAGCAATAATTTCAATATGTACATCAATAATATACGCGAATGTTTTCTCCGGCGAGTGGGATTAAAATGCTCGCCTTTGAACATCCAACAGAATCAAATAATCGGCAGCATGGGGAGTAGAAATTTATTTGAATTGCTGTATAATATTCTGCTGTAAGATTTTCACTAGTTTAATTCTCAGTTACTGTAGAAAGTGACGAATCTTAAGAACTAGTTAGCGAATAATCACTTAAATTCGTGTAACAAGAAATAACAAGAAGGAAGGGTAACTAACCCTTTATTATTTCAATAAGATTTTAAAAAACTCCGGCTTGGAGCGTACAATAAAAGCCGACACTTGGGCTTGAACTTAAGAGACTAGAAATTAAACTAAAACTAAGATTAACTAAAGAAATATAGCCGAAGCTATCAAGATTCTAATCGAGTTGACCCCTTAACTTTACTTGACTACGAAGCTTA